TGATTTCATAATTACAGATTTATACGTGATTAATAAATGTGACAGTTCAAACAGCAGAGATTATAATGTCAGAGTAAGTGGCTGTTCTTAGAGAACAGTATTATTAGCCCCAAATAATAATGTACATGAGAGGAGTATCATGAGGGCCCCATTTCCCAGTAAGTGGATGGAACCAGTTGTGAGACCCCAGCACACAGCTGATACAGCCCTACAGATGAGAATACACCTCGACACTGGTTATCCCCCCAGGGAGGATTCTCCTAGACTTTGCTCCTGGTTGGTGGAATCCGAGTTGGTTTTATTCTAATGCCTCCCAGTAGTTGGTAGTATGTCCCCCTTTCGTTACCAGCAAAACCCAGTAGATCTATCTTGAGGACACACGATGCTACTATGGATAGTAAAACTGGAAAGCAGTAATAAAAAGACCCCTTGTGCATTCTAGAAAGTGGGCTTTTTTGGGGAAGAAGTCTACACTTGGCAGGGAGGTTGACTTGACCTGGCAAAGCCTTGAGAGGATTTCACTGGGACTCTGAAAATTTGATTCTGACTCTATAGGTGGCTGTGGACCTTGAGGAAGTCGCGCAGCTTCCTCTTTTGCAAAACTAGGAGATTGGACAAGATGGGCTGTGATATTGTCATAATCTTATGAATTGGAAAAGTATATGCAGAGATGAGTTTCCTTCCATTGGTGTCAGGCCACCAACAATAACGTGGCTTTTGAAGAATGCTGGGCATCCATGATCCTCCTCTCTCTCCCTTCTCTTCCTTCACAGACTCCTTTATTCACCCAGCAGCCTTTCTTCTCTTTTCTGCTTTCAACCTTTCTGTTTTCCTGTGCGATGGTCATGACTCACCAGCATTTTCCTCTTGTGTACGTGTGTCACCGTCTGGATGAGGTTCCTGCAGGAAAAGCAAACCACAAAGCCGAGTGATTCATGAGCATGGCCCGTATCCTGGCCTCAGGCTCTCCCGGACTCTCCTTGGGCAGGGCATCCCCTGGCGGCCAGCTGGGGAACAGCAGTCGTCCTGGGAGAGGAGGAGGCCCCACGGTCATTTCTTGAGCCGTCACAAAGCCACTGGCCAGAGAAGGTTATTTGACGCAGTTCTTCATAAGAATATTTTCTTTTCTGAGACAAATGAAAACTTTGCCTATTGTTTTGTTCTGTTATTTCTTTCCTATCAAATGTATAAGAGAGAGAGAGAAATGTTCTGAGTTAAATTGTAAAAAGAAAAGAAACGCTGAGTGTATTGGGCTGAAGAATTAATTGTTAAACGTCAATTTGAGCAGGCGTGCTGCTTTAACTTTTCAGAAAAGCAGGTGTGTAGCTTGAGTTCTCTCTGGAAGACCATGAGTGGAGATGAATAGTTTCAAGATGGCTTTTGAATTTTCATCTTCAGGGATTTTTTTTTTTTTAAAGATTGGCCCTGAGCTAACGTGTCGCCAATCTTCTTTTTTCTTCTTCTTCTTCCCAAAGGCCCCCAGTACATAGTTGTATATATTTTTAGTTGTAGGTCCTTCTGGTTGTGCTATGTGGGATGCCACCTCAGCATGGCCTGATGAGCGGTGCCATGTCCACGCCCAGGAGCCAGAGTGGCAAAACCCTGGGCCACCTAAGTGGAGCGCGGAGACTTAACCACTTGGCCACGGGCTGGCCCCTTCAAGGATATTTTGAGGGTTGGCCTTGCAGGATCTGTTGGGCTGTTTTGGGGATGTGGAGCCAGTTGTTTTGAGGAGAAGCTTTGGGTAGAGTGAATGGATAGACTCCGAAATGTGCTTCCCAGAGCAAAGCCCCGACTGTGAGGACGCACAGTCTAGCCAAAGCCCCATGCACCAAGGGCGACTCACAGTGAGGAGCGCCATGTTGCTTAGGGGAGGAGGGCCCCTCCAAGGGGCATTTTCTCAGCTTGGAAGTAGGATGAGCCTGGGTGTAAGCCAAAAGGACACCCAGGAAGCCCAAAAAGAAACAAAACTTGGACGGTAAGGATTTGTCTCCTGATCTGTCTCTGGGCAGAGGGTCAGCCCCAGGCAGAGCAGCCCTGGCCGGCTGTGTGCTGGTGCGTAGCTCTGCGGGCACCTGTCACGGTCATAGAATGCAGGGAGGCCGAGGAAGGGTCGTCTTACCTCCCATCAATCAGGGTCCTCTGTATTGGGACGTGGAAGGTAGGGTTTGATGACTACTTGCTGGACCAGTGAAGAACGGATGAATAAAAGAGCCCTGAGAAAGAGAATTCCTAAACTGATGGAGAGGCCCAGTGAGGGCCGAGACAGGCTCTTTTGTCAACCTGCGTTCCCCTCATAGGAATGGCTTCGATGGGTGCAGAGAGGGCAGAGATTAATCATTTAGCATTTCTAGTGGAATAGTAAATTTGAAAACTCTCTACAGGAAGGGGTGGGGTTGCACCCCATGAGCTTGGTGACATAAAAATAAAAATTGGTGTGCTCAGCGTTGGGGAGAAGTTCCCACCCTGCCTGCTGGGCAGTTGGCAGAAAACAGTTCACCGTATGAAAGAGGGCGTTTTCCGTATCTTCCGGGGTGGGGTAGGGTAGCACAGGTCGTCGGCGTGCAGCTTCTTGGGGTTGCATGGACTAAAGGACTGCAAGGAACTGCTCCTCCACAGGGGGTTAAAGCGACTGAGATGACAAGAACAGAATTGTGGTCGGGGGACTGTGGGGACGTCAGCGGGAATTCACACAGAAGGAGCAGCTCAGAAATAGCAGCTACACTGATGCGGAGTCTTTGGAGCTAATGTTTTCATTCTGCACCTCAGTTTGCACACTGCAGTTTTGTTTGGCTCAGCACCAGTGACGGCCACTCTCCTTCCAGAGAATGATTTCCTGATGAGGAGCACAAGCTAATGCCCTTCTTGCCCCAGGTTCACTGGAACTGCCCCCTCAACATGGGAGCAAGAAGGAGTCTAAATAATTCAGATTCTAAGTTGGTATTTCACATTTCAATATCTAAAGAAAAAGACATTTCTCTGAGGTTTCAAGGTTTTCTCCTTGATCTTCAGATTTGTTTTTTGTTGTTTTTTGTTTTTTGAGGAAGATTAGCCCTGAGCTAACATCTGCCACCAATCCTCCTCTTTTTTGCTGAGGAAGATTGGCCCTGAGCTAACATCCGTGCTCATCTTCCTCTGCTTTATATGTGGGATGCCTGCCACAGCATGGCTTCCCAAGCGGTGCATAGGTCCACGCCCGGGATCCGAACCAACAAACCCCAGGTCGCCGAAGCAGAATGTGCGAACTTAACCGCTGTCACCTGGGCAGCCCTGATCTTCAGGCTTTTAAAGTTACACCTTTAACATAAGAGAATCGTATCCCTATTTTCTCCTTCCTGGGCTAAATATGCCTTGTTTCCCTTTCACTTATAGATCTTGACGTCTCAATGATCCTTTCAGATAAGCGCATCCTGACAGGACTTCTCTGTGGTGACTGTCTGCAAGCCATGCATCTTCTTGCCTTGCCACCTCCTCAGAAGAGCAGCTGTTGGCAACTGAGGGCAGCCACGTTGTTCTACTTTGTTGTACTTTCTGTGCAGTCTCCCAACTTTGTCTAGTAACTCTTCCTTTGAAATTTCCATTTCTACCATCATATTTTTAATTTCTAAAGGTTGGTCTTACTCTCTGAATGATCTGTTGAAATAGCATCCTGCCACGGCCGGCCTAGTGGCCTAGTGGTTAAGTTCATGGACTCTGCTTGGGTGGCCCGGGGTTCACTGGCTCAGATCCTGGATACAGACCTACGCATCGCTTATCAAACCATGCTGAGGCGGTGTCCCACATATAAAATAGAGGAAGATGGGCACAGATGTTAGCTCAGGGCTAATCTTCCTCAAAAAAAAAAAAGCATCCTGCTCGTTGTTTGTGGGTATAAATGTCTGGTATTTTTTATCTGAGTGTTTCTTTGTAAGAGATTAAAATGCGTTCTGAGGCTCTGTTTGCACCAGGGCTTGTCAGCTGTGCACACCTCTTCTGTCTGGGCTCACACAGGGCAGGGAATAGCACTGGGCACTCCCTGGGCTGTATCTCAAGTGCCCCAGCCCAGCCCCTGTCTCGTCCAGGTTTCCTGGAAAGTCAGCTTCTCTGGGTCCTCCTGGCATGCGGGTGGGTGTCCTCTGTTCTGTGGCCTGGGGCACCAAGGGTCTGTGTGTGTGAGCCTCTCAGGAGATGCTGTGTTCAGGCCTGTCCTCCAGTTCCTGATATGCTCAGGGGTTCTGTGGCATGAGTGGAGCTGCTTCTCATTGGCTTTGCTCCCTGCAGGCACTTAAGGCTCCAGCTGCTTCTCCCTCGGTGACCACTCAGCCAACTGCTTTTCGTTGACATCACTTGTCTGGTGTGTTTCTTCCCCCATGTCTTTGACCTTGTGAATTTGTTTATTTTATTCCTTAAACCATTTTGCAAGGGTTTTGGAAGGGAGTGGATAGAAGTGCATGCATTTGATTTCCAAGGTGTAACTGGACCTCTGTCCTACTCAGCTTTAGAGAATTATTTAACAGAGAAAGAGCTGAGATGAGACCTTTATATGATTAAGCAAAACTGGAGGTTATTATGCAGTCATCAGACTCTAAAGAGAAAATGTTAGACCTGCAGAAATTAGAATTCATAGGTCTTACAGGTGATACCTACAAAAATAGATTACGCAGTTTTTGAGTGCTAAGGTTTTGAACAAAATCAGTTTGTCTCTACCAAAACAATGCAGTGTGTTGCCATACCTCTCTTCTAGATCCCTCTAAAAATTTGCAAATTTCTGGAAATACACGTACTGTGAACATTGCCAATTCTAGGTCAATTATTGTATATATGGGACATTTCCCAAACTTATTTTTGCCATACTTCTTTTCTTTCTATGAAAGCAATGCAATTTCATTTCAGGAAATACCCACCTCCTCCTCCCCCCTTCCTGCCGCCAGGAGCCACCTCTCCTTCCTCTGGTTCTGTGTTTACACTAGGTCAGAACTGGCACCCTTGGTCTTCATGGCTGTGTCCTCATTCTTTTCCAGGACACCGGGGTTGGGAAATCAAGCATTGTGTGTCGATTTGTCCAGGATCACTTTGACCACAACATCAGCCCGACCATTGGGTAAGTTCCTGTATGTTCTCTTTCACGTTTCTTCCTTTCAAAGCACTCAGAGAGGTCAGCCAGTGAGAATCGATCCCACTGGAAAGACTTGGACGGAAATTCAGGGACTTTGAAGCAGTACGTCCGGGCTTACTGTCCCTGTCAGTAATTTTTTTTCGTAGCCAGCGTCCTCATGCTGCAGCCTGAGGCCATTTCCTTGATCCGAGAGAGCGGTGTTCTGCAAATCATGCGGCCTTATTTCCAGATGGAAGAGGAGACACAGGACAAATCCCCAGGGCTCCGCTTAAACCTGCCTGGCAGTGAACTTGGAGACGCCGTCCACTCACACAGCTGCACTGTCTGCAGCCTGTGGGGCAGGTCGACTTTCCTTTTCTGGATTAACGAGCATCAGCATTTCCATACCTGTGCTTGAGGGGCGGGCTGGATCGGTCCCTTCCCAGGCCCGAGGATCTGGGTGCCGGCTCCCTCTCCTGGGGGAGGCTTTCGCCAGAGGGTCTTTTGCCGTGGCATTTTGCAGATGCTCCATGGTTGCCTGTCTTAGGACTTGGCCTCACTTATTTTCTCCCTGCAGATAGCATGCTCTTTGCAGAGAGCAAGGGTTTGTTTTCCTCAGAAGGGAAACAGCTGGGTATATATTTGGGGAACGCTGCAGGACTGGTGAGGATGGGGGCAACTGTCTCTCTCAGTAGTAAGTAGAGAAAATTCGTGGCAGGGCATAAGCGGGTGCTCAGGAACAGTGGGTCGATAGGCCAGTGGTTGGCGCGGTGGACGTGAGAAAATCCGATACGTTTTGTAATTAAAAAATGGCTTAAAGAAATGTGGTCGAGGAAATTGAGCGTCAAGAACCGTGAAGGGTCCAGAGGCTAACCAGTTATCTGCCCCCATCTCATGGATGCTGGCAGAAGACACTCGGCTCCTGTGTCAGAGACAGGAAATAGCGGTAGCCAGAGTATTATTGCTTGGCCTTGGTTCCCTAAGCCTCACTTTCCCCGAGGGGGAGGCAAAGAGCTGACACCCTACATGCAGTGGGTTGCCTCACAGGAGAGGAGCCCAAATCTTTTCTAACGGGCGGTAAGCATGCCTGTGCTTTGCTCTCTCCCTTCCGAGCCATACAGACATCCCGACAGCACACCTGGGGAGGAGACGCAGTTCTGCCCTCGAGAGGTGTGGGATGTGAGAGGCGTGGGCATTGCCTCCCAACGCCAGTGCTTCTGTAGACGGGGGACAATTTTATAGGGAAATTCTTCTCGCTCTCATCTGTGATGTACTTTTTTCCTCTTTAATTTGCCAGTTTGTGTTTCTTGATAATAAAAGCAAAACCTATAAGAGTGATAAACTGAAGTATGGTTCTGGAAGATGGAAGAGGGACTTTTGCTGTCTACTCTTTTTCTTAATTAAAAAAATTTTTTGAGGAAGATTAGCCCTGTGCTAACATCCACCACCCATCCTCCTCTTTTTGCTGAAGAAGATTGGCCCTGAGCTAACATCCATGCCCACCTTCCCCTGTTTTGTATGTAGGACACCTGCCACACCAAGGCTTGATGAGTGGTGTGTAGGTCCGTGCCCGGGATCCCAACCGGCAAACCCTAGGCTGCTGAAGTGGAGCGTGCAAACTCAACTGCTGTGCCATCAGGCTGGCCCTCTGTCTGCTTTTTAAACTTAAAAAAAAATTTTTTTAATAACAAATCTGTCTTCCTTTGGTAATGATTTCTTTTTAAATAAAAAGGCATAAATAAATGCATGCTTCACCACAAATTATGGTAAATACATAAAAGTGTTAAGCATAACCGTTACTCATAGATGTAAGGACCATTATGCCAAAATTATAATAAGCATATCACTCTGATCACCATCGCTTGGTCAGAGCACGTCATCATGCCAGCCCAGATTCAAGAGGGGAAATACACTCCACCTCATGGGGGCAGTGTGTGGAGTCGTGTTGTATCCAGCGCCCCGCACTGCTCTCCATTCTGGGGATAACCGATCAAACGCTGTTGGTGGTACTTCGCCTAGTAAATACGTTGTGGTGGTTGGGGCTTTTAAACAATTATGTCTTGTATGGAAACTCTCTGTACTTTCTGCTCAGTTTTTGTGTAAACCTAAAACTTCTCTAAAAAATAGTCTATTAACTAAAAACTTTTGTATTTGTTCTTTAAATTATAATGCTCATTGTGAAAAGTTCAGATCATACATAAATGTTTAAAATTAAAACAGAAGTTAGAGGATCTTTACTAGCTCTCCAATCCCATATTCTTCGATTTGTATTACCAATATTTAAAAGTCCAAAGTGCATGTTTAACTTATTTCTTAGAAGTATTTTCTATGTATATGCAGGTATACAAACACCTAATTTTCAAAAACAAAAACAGTATCAGGTCCTTCCTAACATGCTGCAGCATGCATTCTCCGTCCATGTGGGTCATTCTCCGTCCACGTGGGTCATTCTCTGTCCATGTGGGTCATTCTCCGTCCTCGTGGGTCATTCTCTGTCCATGTGGGTCATTCTCCGTCCATGTGGTTTTCCTTATTCTTTTCATGAATACAGATCTCCTGGAAGATGGCATGAACAGGACACTTTAATTGCTGTCTGTGCATTTCCTCGACAGAGTCAAGATTAAAGTTTAATTTTTCTGGTTATAAAAATTCATGTTCAGTCTAAATAAGCTAAAAAACACAGAATTTATGAAAAATAGGAATTATAGTATATATGTAGTTTTTATCCTGTTTTCTACTTAATATATTTTGAACATTTTCTTATAATGTCACATAATCTTCAAAAACATGATGAAAACAATATTTTTTTCTGATTATAAAAGTATATACTCATCATAAAAAATTGAAAATGAGGAGAAATATAAAAATTGCCCATAATCTACCCCCCAGAGTAACTACTGTAAACATTTGGTATATTTTCTTTGTCGTTTTCCTATATATATATATAAAATCATTTTTTCATTCAGCATTATATTGTGAATTCCATGTCATTAAATGGTCTTTAGAAACAATTATTTTTAATGGCTATATTTTCAATTTTAGGCATTTAGGTTGTTTAAAATTTTTTTACTTTGATAAATAATGTTACGATGTATATCATTGGGCATAAATACTTGCGTCTACCTCTGCTTATTTCATTAGATTACATTCGTAGCAATGGGGTAATTTAGTCAAAGAATAAGAACATATTTCAAGTTCTTGATGGATATTACCAAATTGTTTTTCAGAAAGCTTGCCCTTCTGTATATGAACGAGCTTTAGGTATTATTTAAAAATATTTTGCATGTGTCATTTTGAATTCTGTTCTTCTCCTGTAAACTTCACACTTAAGCCTTTTCTCCTAACTTAATTCTTCATAGACACAACGGCAAGCGGCTGCAGCATTAAACTGTGTGCTCCTCTGCTTTCCGTCTACTGCGTGCCTCACTCTGGATCAGGATTAAGCTCAGCTCCTCCATTCTGACGTGTTGTCTTTTCCTGGTATAGTTTAATTGCCCAATTTTAAAATCACTCAAACTTTGTCCTCTTTTCTGGGATTTTGAGAAAATGTTTCCAAACCCCAGTTTCAGAAAAATAAAGCTAGCAGGAACATGCAGACTTCTTGGAAGATGGCGTAAGTGGGATACTTTTAAAAGATTGAGTGCTTATCCCTCAGCAGGTAGGCCGGGAGTCTGGCTTATAGGTATGTTTTGTTTAGTGTGCTTTAAAAATCCTAAAACAATAATGAAGAATCAGGAGATTTTTACATAATAAACTTGAATTCTGACCTCTTTGAAAATCAGTAGAATTGGAGCACTGGGTGTGCATGCTCATGTGGCGGAAGCCACTGGAACTGAGCCCCAGGGGCTCCCTCTGCGGGGGCCGGGGGTGGGTGTGGGGGGGCAGGGCTTGCTATCTCCACTCCACGTCACTCCCACTGCTTATTGTTACTGTTATTTTTATTATCATTACTTTTACACCTAGCCCACTTTGCTCATTTGCATGGCCTACCTGGTCCCATAGATATTTCAGTTCTTGTCCTTGGCGCAGAGCCTTTTTTCCAGTAACCCAGCCGGCCCTAAGGGTCAGTGCAGCCAGGTGACTTGTTTGAGCGCACACAGCCAGTGAACGGCAAACTTGTGATTCAAACCAAGTGCGTCAGTCTCAGAGTCCACCCTTGTTCTCTCACTGTGATCACCGACCAGCGGGAAAGGCCGCAGGCTCTAAAATGTCATCAGTTCAGCGTCAAAAGAGTTCATTCTTATCATCTCCTGTGACTCACACTGAAAAGTCTTGGCTCTGCTGTTCAAGCAGATTGTGCCAACATCTTGAACATATATATGTGCGTGTGTTTCTCCCTTTCTATTTCGACTTGTAAAAGGAAATTGTGTGACTTCTCTGCCAGATCTTGGTTCCCACAGATAATGAAGTCAAGTCAGCATTGCAGAATCTTCCCCCTCCACTGCTGGAAGGTAATCTGTAGAGAAGAAAAGATGCCTGAGGTTCTTATAAGATTGAAAGCTAGCAGAGGCTGGAAAAAACACCCCAAACAACCAAAAGAGCAATGATTGTCAGTCTTCATTTCAAATATTGATAGTTCTTCTCCTAGTGACAAGAAATCAGGGACAGAGAGGGGTGTGTGCCTGTGTGTGTGTGTGTGCGCATGTGTATACACTATATATGTATGTATGATATGCATTACTTCTGTTACTAAAGCTGTTTCTCAGGACTTACCGTGTAGCAAGGGAGAATTTCACAGTTTTAGGTGTTATTTTTAAAAATGTTGTGAATTTCACAGGGGTCATTTCCTGTTCGACCCTATCACAGCCCCCCAGATCATGCAGAGTAGACATGGGTCCTATTTCACAGATGGGGAAACTCAGGGAGCTTCTTCTCTGACCACGGACAAGGCAGTCTTTCTGGTCTCAGATTCCACCAGCCCCTTATCTCTGAGGTGAGGGGGTTGATATTTTATGTTTTTTCCACCTCTAAAAGTTTATGATTCTAAGATTTTAAAGGCATGAACTTAGTTTTCTAAGCCTGAGAACTTTTTAACGTGTGGTTGATGTATTATTTATCCTGTTACCTAGAATATATGAGGAATGAATGAAAATCTGGCTTACATCAAAGCAAAAGCAAAAACAAACACAAAAACAAAATATTGACATAGCCGTCTACATAAAATTTTAAAAGGCGTTTATGGAGAAACTTCCAGAAACAACATTAAAGGGCAAAGATTAAACTGGAAAAATATTTTTAAAAATATACTGTTACAGGCTGGGGCCGGCCCCATGGCCGAGTAGTTAAGTTCGTGTGCTCCGCAGCAGGCGGCCCAGTGTTTCGTTGGTTCGAATCCTGGGCGCGGACATGGCACTGCTCATCAGGCCACGCTGAGGCGGCATCCCACATGCTACAACTAGAAGGACCCACAACTAAAATACACAACTATGTACCAGGGGGCTTTGGGGAGAAAAAGCAAAAAAAAAAATAAAATCTTAAAAACTAAATAAATAAAAAAATAAAAGATTCCTATTTAAAAAAATGTATATATATGTATATATACTGTTACAGGGGGCCAGCCCAGTGGCACAGCGGTTAAGTGTGCACGTTGCACTTCTGCAGCCCAGTGTTCACTGGTTCGGATCCTGGGTGCAGACATGGCACCGCTTGGCAAACCATGCTGTGGCAGGCGTCCCACATATAAAGTAGAGAAAGATGGGCATGGATGTTAGCTCAGGGCCAGTCTTCCTCAGCGAAAAGAGGAGTATTGGCAGCAGTTAGCTCAGGGCTAATCTTCCTCAAAAAGAAAAAAAAAAATAATGTTACAAAAGGTTAGTATAAAATACTCAAAAAGTGCATAAGAAAAGGATGAACACTACAACTGCAAAGGGGCAAAGGTCATGAATTAAAGATTCACAAAAGTAAAATACAAGTGAACAATCAACACGGAAGTGATGGCCAGACTTCTGATGAGGATCATACACACAGGAATGAGATACTGCTTTCTACCTGTCGTACTGGAAAAGATTTAAAAGATTAGTATTGGTTGGGGCAAAGGTCGTCTCACACCCTGCCATGGGCGTGTAGGTTGGGACAACCCACAGTTTGGCAAACATAGGAAAGTGGAGCACATCTACTTCTAAGAATTAGGTCCAAGGAAATAGTTGTACAAGGACGCAAAGATTTAGGTACAAGGATATTCATTTGATCATTGTCATAATAGTGAAAAATAGGTGACCAAAATGCCCATGAGTGCATTTTGAGAGCAAATCTGTAATATGGTGTGTAATACTCCATCATTTTAGATAATGATGTTGATCTATATTCATAGAAATGGAAAGATGTCCATGATAAAGTGGAGGAGAAACAAAATTTATGTAGAGTCTGATCAATTTGGGGGGTAAAAGTTGTATAAAAATAATTTGGAAGGACATATACCAACTTATTAGCAGTGATTGTGGCTATGTGGTAAAATTACAGTTGAGTTTTATTTCCTTTGTTTTCCTTTTTTGAATTTCTTTTTTGTACATATATTGCTTTTATAATGGGAAAAGTAATAAGGATATTTCCATTTTTGGAATATATTTGCTCTTATCAGTAGTCTGGGATGCATATTTTAAGGACTTTTAAAGAAGTGAAATGTCATGGGACAGATGTGGTTTTAAAATATTGGGTCATATCACTTAGAAAAATACTGAGAATTTCCATTTAGTGCAATTGTACACAGATAATTAGAACTCTCTAACTGTTAACCTTTGGGGGGTGTGTGTATGTGTGGGAATTGCAAGGACATATGCTTTTCTCCTTGGGACTTCTGGTTTGTCTCTTAGTCTTGGGGAAAAGCAGGAGAAGTTGAGGAAATATTTCCAGGATGCGTGCCGAGTGGGTGCAGGGCTGGGCTCTGCGCTGGCCCTGGGGGCCGGCTGGACCACATGAAAGTGAGAGGAGACATCCTGGCACTTTACCTCTAAAAACTCTAGTATGCATCTCCTAGGAATAAGAATATAATGAGAATACCATTATCATACGTAGGAAATTAATTTTGAGTCAATGTTTCGTCACAGATAGTCTAAATTTAAATTTCTCCAATTGTCCTCAAAATGTCTTTTAAATCTGTTTTCCTCCTAATGCAGGATCCAGTCAAGGTCCACATGATACATTTGGTTGTTTTCTCTCTTTCTTCTCTCTCTTAATCTAGATCTAAAACAATCTCCTGGTCTTTTGTTTTGCTTGCTTTTCATGACGTTGTCTTACTTGAAGCATCCAGGCCAGTTGTCTTGTAAAAATGTTCCATGTTCTAGATTTGCCTGATTCTTTCCTCATGATTAAATTCAGATGAACTATTTTTGCAGAATGCTGCATAGGTGATGTGTGTATTTCTTACTCCATCACATCAGCAGGCTTGTCATGTCTTGTTGTCCCACTGTTGGGGACGCTTGCTACTTTTAAATGAATAAGAAGCTTTATTTCACAGAAAAAAAGTCAAGGGTATTAAACATTCCTTGTATTAGATTTTTACATCTTTCATGAGCACAAAGAAAAGCTTAAGAGGAAATATGCAAAAGAAAATATCAAGATATATACTATCTGTACTGAGAATATCAAACCCTTTCTTTTTCATGGAGAGAAGATACATGTTTAAGCTACCAGTCTTTCTCCCTGCATTTATGCTGGCAGGATGGGAGTTAGAGCTCATGTTCTCTTCCTGGCTGTTAGTGTTGGGTTGATAGCACAGGTAAATATGTAAGGCAGTTTTCTGTTTGTGCCATTGCAAGGCCTGAAGAGTAACACGCCCAAATACCAGCTCCCCTTTTCACTCTTAATTGTTATAACAATATATTTTTAAAATCTAAAGCTTTATTTTCTTTCCTGATGTCGGGCATATTATCTTAGAAGAATTGAAGATAAGTGTTTTTGGAAAGGCAGTGTTTCAAATGCATCCTTTGCCTCTCCTCCATCTCCCACAAACCTCCAGTTGGACAACAGAACATGCAGAATCTTTGCTTTTACTTGCTCCAGCTGTCCTTCCTTCTTCTGAGGGGCCCCCAGGACGTGAGCTTTCAGGGTCCTGCTGAGGTACAACCTTAACTTGTTTGAAACAGGAGTCTTTGTGAAGACTGTAGAGGGTAATTGATAATGTGGAGATGTTGATTCTCTTTTTCAGGGCATCTTTTATGACCAAAACTGTGCCTTGTGGAAATGAACTTCATAAGTTCCTCATCTGGGACACTGCTGGTCAGGAACGGGTAAGGAAACGCTGCTGTTGGCTTTCTAGGGAAAAGACCGAGATCAGTTTCTGAAGCCTTCTTTGTATTTGGTGAGATTCTCTTGGTTGCAAGTGACAGAAACCAGCTTGAAATTATTTAAGCAAAACAGGAGACATATTCCTCAGCTATGAGAAAAACGTAGGGGGGTGCGTATCTTAAGGCAGGGCTGAGTTCAAGTCTTCCAAATGCCTTGTGAGAGGCACCCAACCCCGTTCCTTTTTCCTTCCTTGCTCACCTCAACATTGGCTTCATTTTTAGGCAGACCCACCTTCCTCCCTTCCCGGAGGGTGGCAAGGATGGCCTCATAAGCAACTCCAGGCCTGCATTCTACCACCTCAGCAAGCCCGTGAAGGAGAGCACCTCTTTCTCATGAGTTACACCCTACCTGTCCGAGCCTCTGGGTCTCATTGCCTGGTTTGGGTGGAGTGCTCCCGCCTGAACTTGATGCTGTGTAGTGTTCTGGGGGATTGGTGCGCCTACTGGGAGGGTCGGGTGCACGCTTACCCGAGAGGCATGGCTCCACCTGATCCACACGGCGGGAGGTCTGCTGGAGGTCGGGAGCCCTGGTTCCTCAGGGGAAGTCTGGGTTCTTTTACTGGAAAATGGAGGAATGCACTTTGGGTTACCAGAAACAGCTGATGACTTTTCTCTTATTCTTAGTTCTTTTTATTTGCTGAAAATATTTATGGAGAAGATTATTCATTCAAGCAGCTTGTGTCTTTAGATTTTAGAAAGTGAAATAACAAGTGCCAACAGACTGTAACAGGGAGTTTGTATAACAACTAGAGTGTGTGAGAGTTGGAAGGGGTGGCCAGGAAGAAGGAGCACAGGGAGAGCCAGTGCCTTGTCTTTACTGAGAGCTCCAACCTGATCATGACTTTCGTCAGAGCTGATAATTATGCAGTTAGATGGCTGGAACTTTCCCTCGTCTGACCCAGGCTCAGATGTCGCCTTCTCCACTCCGCCAGCGACAGTGTCAGCGCAGCGTCCTCTCCCCTCCCTACTGCACTCGCTTCGCCTTTCTCCACAGCTCTTACCAACTTCTTAGATACTACTTAATTCACTTACTGACTCCGTTTGTCTCTTTCTCTCAAAGGAAGAGAATCTGGGGTTTGGGATAATCCATCATTTTCATTATCGGCTCCTAACAAGTTAAGTGTATGTTTATGTAATTTTCATCTTATATAAACCCCCTTTTAAAACTAACGTTCCAGCGTTTGCAGATAAAGGTGTTTTAAAGATTCCTTTTTTTAAAATTAGGACAAATCTTCCGGCCTACAAATGCTAACCTCATTAGAACGTCTTGCATTTTGCCGCTGCACTGAGCGCAGACGCGCGCACACCCGGCGCAGCCGCTGCCCAAGCACCTCTGTGACTCTCTGCGTTGGCCGTGCGTCCCGACTCCTGACACCGGTGACTGCCGGCCACGAGGGGCCTCCTTCTCGCCACCTGTGTGTGCTTTGTAGCTGGTCTGCGAGGTTTTTGTTTTTGGAGTTTTGGTCGTTATTTAGATGTAAGCAGAGAGGTTCTCCCGCTCCCTTTTTACTTTTGGCCATGAAATAGCTGCTTTTGCAGCTGCTTTTAATGAGTGCCCTAAGTCTTTTTTACAAGTAGGTGTCTTAGTATTAGCTGCTTCTGCTAGTGGCTGACGTGCACCGAGGACTTGCTGTGTTCCCTGTGCTGTCCCAAGTGTCTTCTGCGTACAAAGGCATTTAGTCCTCTCACAGCACTCTGAGGTAGCGACCATTTTTATCCCCTTTGAGGTCACTGAGGCACAGAGAGGTTAAGTCACTTGTTCAAGATCACACAGCCAGTAAAGCTTAAAGTTGAAATTTGAATCTAGCAGTTTGGGTCTTGAGCTTTATGGTTTTGTTCTGATAGAAAAACCATACAGAAGCCATACAGTTGAAAGTAAAATTATCCAAAATTCCACTACCCAGATATTTCCACTGTTGACATTAGATGACCATTGGTCAGATATCTCACTATGCGTGTGTTGATAATCTCATCTCAATGCGATCGTGACTCTTTCTAACCTGCTCTTTTCACTTGATAAATCTTGTTCCTAAGGGGGCATTCTGTATGATCTAAACAGAGTAATCGCCACTTACTTACCTCTTCTACTACAGTGTTCAAGGGGTTCACTGCTTTTGATGAGATTTGGTACTCTAAAGGGACTATTGTAGTTTGTAGTTTGGCCCCCTTACTACCTCAAAGCAAAATAGCAATAGAAAATTTTTCATATGACTGTATTTCTAATTATTTGAATTGATTTTCCTAAAATTTGACTATTAGAGATTGTAAATATCTGTGACTATATTGCTATGCCTGCACTTTTGGAAGCATAGCATTGTATAGTAGCATGTGTGTAGTCTGTTATGTCTATGTATTGCTTTAGTATTACAGCAGACCCCCTCACCTGTGGGGGACACGCTCCAGGACTCCCGTGGATACCTGAAACTTCGGATAGAACCGAACCCTATATAAACCGTTTTTTCCTCCACATGCATACCTGTGATTAAGTTTAATTTATAAATTAGGCACAGTAAGAATTTAACAACAGTAACTTCTCTTTGTCATATCTGAATTGCCAGCATCACTACCCTTGCGCTTCGGGGCCATTATTGAGTAAACTAAGGGGGGCTTGAACACAAGCACTGCGGTACCGCAACTCCTGATCTGATAACCAAGAAGACCAACTGCTCAGTGACTAACGGGCCGTGGCGTCTACAGGGGATCTGAGGGACAAAGGGGTGAGTCACCTCCTGGGCGGGAGGGAACCGGATGGCTCACGATTTCATCACACTACTCAGAACGGCAGGCAATTTAAAACTTATGAATTGTTTATTTCCGGAATTTTCCATTTAATATTTTTGGACCTTGGTTTACCACGAGTAACCATGGAAACCACAGAAAGCAAAACCTGGGATAAGGGGGCCTTGTGTATATGTTTTATTAGTGTTACGTGTTGTTATAGTTCTGAGTATGTGTGCAAGGCCCGACTCCGCAGTAGTGTTTCAGGGAAGAAGGACTAATTTTGGATGATAATTTCAGGTGAATGCTTTTAGAATCTAGATTTGTGGAGCGTGTGTGAGCAACATCTCCTTGGCCCTTGCAGTCATGCGATCTCTCTCACCCTCGAAGGCCTGCTGTGGTTATCCTCAGGCTGTCCTTGTCTGGGGCCCCCATGCAGTCTCACATGTCTCCAGGGGTGGCAGTTTTTCACTCGCTTTGGCAGCTTGTTGCTGGACTTAATGGTGCTTGTAATGACATTGCCTAATGTTTGAGCTAAAAATAAATTCCCTGCTGTGGCTTGTGCCTATTGCTATTTGTTCTGTCTCATTAATTGTCGGAGTCCAGCGCATTTTCTTATTCCTCCTTATCTTTGTAGAAATCTGCTACTGTTCTTCTGAGTTTTCATAATTATAAATAAACAAACTCTATTTGGATTTATGATTTGGTGATGGAAACTTAGATTTCTGTGTCCTCAAGAGAGGAAAATGCTCAACGCAGTGCTCTGCATGTGTTAGGCACTGTGTAGCTGCTTATTTGTGGAAGGACTGACCCATGTTCTGCCTGGCATGCACGGCATCCCGGCTAATGCCCCACTCACTGCCCCATACTAATTCGGTGTTATGTTTGCGGCACAGATTCATACTCTTGAAAAATCACTTTTCCCTGTGAGCACTGGAAATGTAAAAGGATCCCCCTTTTCCTCCCAGTCTTTGTATAAGAGAGTGTTCATTCTTCATATGCTGTCTTAATTTTGCTTTGCATTCCGCCATATACAATGGACATCTCATGATTCTTTCAATGGCAGATGGTAATCCTTAGAGTGCCTCCGTAAAAAAAAGTTTAAAAAAATTTAACCGTCTTCCAATTGATTGTTGAATCCCATTTGTTAGAAGCTTAACGTTGTCAAGATTTGTGCATCCAGCTTGTTGCTCTGAGGAGCTGCTGACGGGGAGGGGGCCCACGCTGGAGCGTCAGTGTGGGCTTTCGGGGGTTTTCAGCCTGTCCTCCTTCGATGAGTTATTGTGCTAGTTTCTGCTTCCTGCTGAGCTGTGAGGAGAACGCAGCAGTCGGTCAGCAGATGCCTCTGGCAGCATGTACACAGGAGCTCGCAGTGGTCCCCAGGGGGGAGAGAAGAATTTGTCTGCCCAGCTCTGCTCTCCTGCTTCCTGTTGGTCAGGGTTTGTGACGGGAGACGAGACTTCTGTCCTAACGTGTCAACACGCCATTCTTTCCCATTGAGTGTCCTTTTGACTTCCTTCTTTGTTTTTCTACTTAAACTGGGGGCTCGAATATCCTCATTGCTATTAAAAATGTCTCGTCAATAGGAAGTGCAACCTTCATTTCCTAGATATGTGCTTCCAAATCATTCTGTTTCTGCTTTAAAAAAAATCAGAATCCATAGGATAATCCATTAAAATGTCAGTAACTCGGAAGAATTTCCGGCTTCATTCTCTTGGTCTGATCCAGCAGAACAATGTTATTCTAAGACTGTAACATGGAAAAATAGATCATTTTATTCTTTTGTTTCAGTTTGGTTAAAGTCAGTGTTAGAGCTGTCCCTCTCTCCTAACGCCTCAGTCATAATGGTTGTATTTATAAAGGCTGGGTTTCAAATGAACCTCAGTCACAAATTCCACAAAGGAGAATCGATGGTTCTGTTACTAGAATAAAGAACTCTCCGTTACTTTAACACATCTGAAACTGAACAGATTGACTTCTGAAGTCAAGCTCATTATGTTATGCTTTTTAAAGGTGAAATTGGAGAACACATCTACAGACTAAAAAATAGGCTCCCTTTGCCAATATTTAGCAGTAATTATGAAGCATTGAAATTAATAATGTTAAAAATGACATTATGCAAAGACTTGTGTAGCAAATTACATAATTTATTATTATTGTCCTTTTTTGGTATTTTAAAAAATTTGATAAAACTTTGAAAATAAAAGAAATGCTAAGTAAGATCA